TTTATCGCTTCACATAATTAAATCTTTATGGCAAGTAGCACCATAAATAAATAAATGTAAAAGGCAAATGATACACATTTGCAATATACAACAGATAAAAGGATACCAGCTCTAATATCCAGAGATCTATAAATTAATAGGAAAAAAGACAAATGACACAACAAAAGAATAGGCAAAGGATATGAACAAGTAATTTCCAACAGAAGAAATACAAATAGCTAATAACTTTACTAGTTATTAGGGAAAAAATAATTTAAAGGAACAAGACTGGATTTTCCATCCAGATACTGACCGACAATTAGAAAGAATAATAGTGTTCATCATGCCAGGAGGACAATTTAGCTCAAACACGTTGATGTAGAAGTTATATTTTTAAGGTAGTAGCTTTAAAAATCCTTGTAATCACATAAAATAGATTTGAAAGAATGGTTTTTATAGCATTATCTATAATAGCAGCAAACTGTTAATAACCTAAAGATCTATCATGTGGAAAGAAACGAATAAATTTTATAGTACACCCTGCTCTGGAATTCCCTGTAGCTGTTTTAAAAATGACTTTCTATTGAGCAGGGAAAAAAGCAAGTTGTAAAATAATATGTACGGGATCATTCCATTTTGTAAAACACAGAAAACCACATGTACATAAACAGAAAAAGTATTAGAAAGATACAAAATAAACAAATAATCATGGCTATCTCTGGGCTGTGGGATTAGGAGAGGGATAGTTCCACTTTTTACTTTATATACTACTGCCTTTTTCACATTTTACAATAAACATGTATTACTTTTTTAACAAAAATAATGTAAGCTCACCCTATAACATTTGTATTTAAATATATATACATATATAGAGAGAGAAACAAAAAAAGCAATTTGAAATGTCTCTACACAGAAGCAATTATCAACATGCCAACACTTTCCTTTTCAGTCCCCATTACGTATTTTAAACATATTTTAGATCTTTATGTAATTTGGGACTTGTTTTTCGATGAATATAATATTGCAGTTTCCTATATCATTAAAAACACATTAACTTAAAGGTTAAATTAATATTTTTTAATTTTGAAAATAATACATGCTCAAACTAGAAAATTTAGAGAAGAGCCAAAAAAGAATAAAAAGCCCATGTATTCCCATCACCCAGAGATAATTACTTAAAAATATAATGAAAGTCAAGTGCACAGAATTGGATTGATTTATAATCCTTAGATTGTACACACTGTCTCATTAATTCATACATGGCTCTCTTTCATGTTTATTCATTAACTTTTATTTTATTTATTTTTAATAAAAATCATAAAATTATCAAATAATCAAAATAGGATTTTAATTACATAATGACATCCATCACCCCAGCACTAGAATATTGACAATAACTTAAATTCATTTATATAATCTTCCCCTATTCTGACCCCCATCCTCAATCCCAATAACCATTATCCTGAATTTTTTGGTTAATACTCCTTTTCTTTTTACAATTGCCAGTGTGTTTACTTGTAGTCATTTGACTTTGATTATATATTTTAAAATAGTTGTAATAACACTTTGTATAATTTCATTTGCTGATTTTCACTTAACTTTATATAAATATAGTGCTTAGTTTTACTTGATTTTGAATAAGATAAAAAGGATATCCTATTATATGTAGTCTTTTGGGGCTTGATATCTTAATTTAACATTTTAGAAGTAAAATCTACACATATTATTATGTGTAGCTGTAGAGTAGTCATATCACAGCTATATAATATTTCATTGTGTAAATATACCATGATTTATCCATTTTCCTTTTGGGACTTTTACTAGTAACATTTTATTATATATCTTCTGGTTATTTTTTGTTGACATTTATATAGTTTCCCTTCTATAAAATATGAATATTATATATACCTTCATGTGACCTATTCCTCTTACTGATGATACCTTGTGAACATATTCCCATTTCAGTAAATATTTTTCTGAGGTATAAATTTAAATGGCTGCACAGTATTCCATCATATAGTTACAACACAATTTTTTAACCACTCCCAGTTGTTCAACATCTGGATTGCTTATAATTTTTTTGCTGTGATAAGCATTATGATGTACATGGCCTTTGGCTTAGCAACTGTCCTTTTAGAAATGCATCCTAAGTAATATCTGAATAAATCTGCACACAAATATGTACAAGGCCACCATATAGGACAACATGGTTGGTGTTCTGTACAACTTACACACATATGTGCTCCTCATAGGAGTTTTTATAATATAAAAATTTAGAAGGAACTTAATGCCCACCAATAGGAGAGTAAGTAAATAAATTATATATTAAAATTAAAATATAGATGCAATTACCGACATGGAAAGCTGTTCACAATTTGTTGTTAAGTGAAAGAAATAGGTTAAATGGCAGTGCAATTCCATTTTGTAGAAGAAAATAAACATTTGTGAAAAAGTCTGGAAGAACATACATCAAACACTTCATAGTGATTATCTCTGGGTATTGAGAGTATTTGAGAATTTAATTTTTTCACATTGCTTATTTATATTTTGAAATGTTTTCAACAATAAAACTTGATTACATGTACAATAAAATAGATGAATAAATAATGAATTTTGTGCTCAATTGTTTAACTATTTTTCCTGAATAGAAAATACCTTTATATTGTCAAAACTTTGAAAAACCAAAAATAATATGTAGAAGAAAACAAAATCACACAAAAGCCTATCTGTCCAGTGATAATTAATTCACAATCTCCAATGTGCTCACCTGCAGTCATTTGACTCTGATTATGTATTTAAAAACAGTTGTAATCACACTGTATAATTTTGTATGCTGACTTTTATTTAACATTATAAGATGAACATACCATAAATATTTTTAAAAAGAATATTCCATCATAGGTACATAGCACACTTACTTAATCATTCCTTTAATGTTAGACTCTTAGGTTTTCCTATTTTTCTGTATATCAAATAATGTATGAGGAACATCTTTGCACATTAATTATCCACATTTTAGATAATTTCCTTGGATATATTCCTTGAAGTAGAAAGTACTAAGTCAAAGAGTATATTTTTATATCACTTGATATATAATGTCAAATACTACTTAATATATATTTTAAGGCAGAATGGAGTAGTAGAGAAAAAAAGAGGTCACACCTAGATCCCATGTCCATTGTTAGTACTCTGCTTAGTAAAACTGATATAAAAACATCTGTCTTATCTAAGTCACAAGGTTATATTTTGATAACCAAATGAGAAAATAGATCCTTCAGAATAATCATAAATGTTACTTCCTCAGAAATGCTTTCCTTGACTTTTCAGACTCTCATAGCATCCTATACTTACTTTTCCTTCATGGCCTTATCACAATAGATAAATAATTGTTCAATTGTTTGTACATTGTCTGTTTCCCCCAGATGATTTTAAGCTTCATTAAAACATGCCTGGCACACAGTTGGTACTCAATAAATATTTGTTGAATGAATGGATGAATGAATACATGAGGTGATAGCATTTTGTAAACTGTAAGTCACTAAACATTCAGAAGGTATTACTATTTTAATTAGTATTATTGCTATTGTTCCTTTTTATTGCCATGTAAATGACTCTAAATCTTTAGAGATTCTTTGTCTAACTATAATTTCATTATGTGGCTTTCATTCTTTCCACTCCAGCCAGAGGCATGGGTAATAACATTGCCGAAAGTGCCTGGTGAGAGCTGAGACTTGGAGAACCAAGTAGTTAGTTCTCTAGGTCAGCATGCTGGTATTTAAGAAGTTGTAGTTACCATTAGCTGGATACAAGGCAGTGGTTAGAAACCCAGGAGGTCATGATATTTGAAGATGCAGGTAGATACTGGAGGTCAGAAACAAACTAATGGTAAGTTGTCTAGATAGTAAGGTGCAAACTGGAGAATGCCCAGTGATAAGGGATTAAAAGAGATAGGAGAGTTAAATTCCAGGCACCAGTACTCAAAGCATGGAGCTATGAATACAATTCTAAAGCAAAGGGTACTTGAACTTAGTGTTCCCTTATGTTTTTCCTGCCAAAACTGAAAATAGTATCAGGAAGTATTTGCACCTACCTCCATATACATGAACAAGGGAATGATATTAATGGTTCTGAGAGTGACAGGATAAAATGAGATCATTTGTATATAAGATATTATAATATTCTACACATAATATGGGAGCAATCAAGCCATGGATCCCATACATCTCATCTTGATTTTCAACAGCAGATATTATAGTACAGTGCTTAGGATCATGGACTCTGGATATAGACTAGCTGGATTTAAATCCCAGCTCTATTATTTAGTAGTTGTACCCTTTAGAGAAGTTGCTTCACCTCTGTGTGCCAGTTTCCTCATCTGTAAAATAGGGATAATGATAGTACCTACTTCAGTGGGTTGTTGTGAAGATTAAATGAGTTAATGCACATAAGGATCTTAGAACAGTGCCTGGTGGTAGCAAAGGCTATGTTGTGTTATTATTATTATTATTAATTAGTCACATAAGACCAAACAAATAAAAATTCATATTATTAAAAAATGGACAAATAATACATTGTATGTTAACTTTATCTAATATAATAATCTTCATCAGGAATTTTTCTCATTAAATAAAAATTTCACTTTGCACCTAAACGGTTAATGTATAAAAACTATAAGCACTGGCAAAGTAGTAAAATTTATCCCATCAATCCCATCTGTTTATTCTGTAGAAGCTTTTTTATGAACGCTATCTTAAAAAGTTGTGGAGATTAAACATACACTTCCAAATAGCAAAAAACACAAACTGCAGTACAGTTGGTTCACAAGATTTGGTCTATAAGGAGGAATGCACTATTCATTTTTTTGAAGCAAATTCTACTAGCAGCAGAAATATTTGAGTTGGAAGGTCTGTCTGTGGAAATATCTGAACATGGGAAGGCTTAGACAGGGGAAGACTAGATTTGAAAAATCCTGGACCTGGGGAAAGGTTGGAAGACCTGGACTATAGAATATGTTAGAATACCTGGATATTGCAGACACTGGAAGACCTGAATGTTAGATCGGCACACTGGAGACGCTGGAAGACGTAGATATTGAGCCCGCTGATGGAAGACTGAGTAGTTGTCGGAAGACCTGAAGATGTTGGAAGACATGAAGATGCTGGAAGATGTAGAGATGCTGGAAGACACAAAAATGGTGGAAGACATGGAGATGCTGGAAGACGAGCACATGCTGGAAGCCCTGGAGATGCTGGAAGACCTGGAGGTGTAGGAAGACATGGATTTTTGGAAGACGTGGCTTAGTTGGAAGACATAGATTTTCTGGAAGACATGGCCATGTTGGAAGACGTTGATTTTCTGGAAGACGTGGGTTTGCTGGAAGACGTAGATTTTCTGGAAGACAAAGCTTTGTTGGAAGGCATAGGTAGGCTGGAAGACATAAATCTGATGGAAGACATGGCTTTGTTGGAAGATGTGGATTTGCTGGAAGACATGGATTTCCTGGAAGACGTGGATTTCCCGGAAGCTATGGATTTGATGGAAGGCGTAGATTTTCTGGAAGATGTGGATAGGCTGGAAGACCTGGAGATCATTGGAAGATGTAGATTTTCTGGAAGACATGGCTTTTTTGGAAGACATGGATTTTCAGGAAGACCCGAATTGTCCGGAAGACTTGAATTGTTTGGAAGACGTGGATTTTCTGGAAGACTGGGAAGTTACTGGAAGACATGGGTTTTCTGGAAGACGTGGATCTTCAGGAAGACATATATTGGCTGGAAGACTTGGAGGTTATTGGAAGACACGACTTTTCTGGAAGACGTGGCTTTATTGGAAGACCTGGATTTAGTGGAAGACACAGATTTTGTCTGGAAGACCTGGATTAACTGGAAGACTTGATTTGGTGGAAGACATAGATTGCCTGGAAGACCAAGATTTTCTTGGAAGACCTGGATTTGGTGGAAGACGTAGATTTTTCTGGAAGAACCGAATTTATTGGAAGACTGGGATTTGGTGGAAGACATAGATTTTTCTGGAAGACATGGATTGGCTGGAAGATCTGGATTTGATGGAAGACATGAATTTTCTGGAAGACATGCATTTTCCTGGAAGATCTGGATTTTGTGGAAGACTGATAATTGCTGGAAGGCTGGATTCACTGGAAGACTTGGAGGTTCTTGGAAGACATGGATTGTCCGGAAGACATGGATTGTCTGGAAGATGTGGATTTTGTGGAAGAGCTGGATTGTCTGGAAGACCTTGAGGTTGTTGGAAGACTTGGAGTTTCTGGAAGACCTGGAGTTGTTGGAAGACCTTGACATTGGCGCCATTGGAAACCCTGGACATTGGAAACATTGTAAGCACAGGACGTTGGAGACATTGGAAGCCTTGGATTTTCAAGACATTGGTTACTCAGGACATCAGAGACTTTGGAGGCCCTGAATATTGAGATAGTGGATATTGGAAGCCATAGACACTGGAATCCCTGTACCTTAGAGATATTGCAAGTCATGTACCTTAGAACTCCTAAATACTGGCAGATACGGAGACATTTAGAAATACTAAAATCAGAAGCCCTGGATATTGGAAGACATTGGAAAACCTGGATATTGACATATTCAGATCAAAAGACATATAATTTGAAAGAATTAAATTGTAATGATTCTGGAGGTCAAGGATGCTGGAAGCCCTGGATATTAGAAGACCTGATATTAAAAGATCTGGATCTTAAGAGATCTAGTCATTTAGACATCGGGGATGTTGAAATACCTGAAGTTGGAAGACCTGCTTCTTGGGATATATTGAAAGACTTGGGCATTAGAAGAACTGGCAGTAAAAATAATTGTAAAATCAGGATTTAGGAGATATTAAAATATGTGGGAACTGAATGATATAAGTGCTAGCAGATATTGGAAAAGCTAGACTTAAATACTATGAAATACATGTACTCTAGAAGGCCTGTATATATAGGAGATATTGGAGGATTAGGACCATAGAAGACTTGGAAGTTAGAACTCTGGATCTTGAAAGATAAGACAGAGACCTTGAAGATTGATTACTGGAGTTATTGGAAGACCTAAATTTTTAATGACCCTAGTATTGGAGAGATTAGAAAACATGGGCATTACAGATGCTGCAGGCCAGAGACTGGAAGACATGGATGTTATAATATTTGGAAGATCTGGCAATTAAAGATCTTAGAAGCTGTGGAGCTTAGAAGAGCTGAGTTAGAGACACTCAGGGATGGAAAGACCTAATTTTAAAGATATTGGAAAGTCGTGTTGAAAGGTATTGGCAATATGGAAATATATGCACATTATGGCCTAGATGTCACATTAAAAGATAGCATGAGACTACTCTTATAGTCTTTAAGACTATTACATCTCTTCTACTAAAAAGCAAAACACATAGAAAAGATATCTTAGGAGATGACAAAGAGGAGGCAGGGGAATTCAAGAAAAAGCAAGTAGTTTGAATGGGTTGGAACCTATTTTCATTGTCTCAGCAAACTGGCTTTCTCGGCTTAATGGGTTGACAGGATAGGAATGGGAAAATATCAAAGAATAACCAATATGCAGGTTAGGGAAACTACTTGGCTCTAGATCAGGGGTCAGTAAATATTTTCTATGAAGGGTCAGTTAGTAAATATTTAAAGCTTTGTAGGCCGTATGGTCTCTGTTGCAAGTACTCAACTCTGCCATAGTAGTGCAGCCATAGACAACAAGTAAATGACCGAGGATGGCTGTATTGTAATAAAACTCTATCTAGAACAAAAAAAAAAGGGTTGGGCTGGATTTGGCTCAAGGGCTTCACTTTGCCAAGCCCTGCTCAAGATGCCAAATCTAGGGTATGGTAAACTTAAGTATATTCCAGACTAGCATTCACATATAGAGAGGAGATAGAGCAATTTGAAGCTCAATAGTAAATAATGATACTGTGTAATGTGATGATACTCAGGAGATGAGACTGGCAAGAACCTAAGAATGAAGTTTAGATCTCTAGCCATTTTTTTTCGCAATTTTCCACACCGGGAGCCTTGTATTCTGAGCCAAAATCAAATGGGTTGCATTTAGGGCCCCCACTAAGGGGTCTGGAGATCAGTGAGGACGTCTTAATTTAATAGACTGGAGGCTTAAGAAGAAAATTAGAGAAGAAACCTACCCCTACAGATTAGGCATATATGGAGAGGAAAAGGAGATTATAGCTTGGTGGGCTCATCTCAGGCACCCTGGCTTTAGGCAAGACAAGTAATTTCTGATCTTACCCACCAGAGCTTAAGTGACAAGCTTAAGGGATCAGAATTGAGCTATGGGCTGAAGGCCTTTGATACTTAGATAAGGCTAAGGAAGACAGAGACTATCACAGATTATTATATGAAAAAGAACATTGGCAGACAAAACTGATAAGGTACACTGGGACTGGACCATGATTTAAAGATCAAGTAGTGGAATAATATTGATAAGCAGCTGCCATTGAAGGTTTGTGAATGAAGAAATATTGGAATCAGAACTGTATACAGGAAAGTTAGTCAAGCAGCAGGGTGCTGAATAACAAAGACTACTAGATATTTATACTAGAACACCAAATACGCCAAGTTAAAACACCTAAGGGGTTGGGATATGAGGCTAATACAATCATACAGGTAAGCAGTACTGGGGGCTAGAATTAAGGCAGTGAACAATTGTGTCACTCAGCAGACACAGCATCAAAGTTATGGTAAATACTCAGCATTCTGAATATTACTACTTTAAACTTCTTGAATGCCATCACAGAATACATGAAATACAAAGAAGTTGAGATGCCAGTAATGAGGAATTGTCCTTGCCTGGTAAGATTACTTAGACTTACACAATTTCGCTTAAAGGAAGCTGAGCTAATAATTTGGTGGTCAAGCAAAGCAGGTCTTATATAGCTTTATCTTTGCTCCCTATATCAGAGTTACTTAATCATCTTTGAAGCGGAACCCAGTGGATGGATTATTTTCTAAAGAATAGGAACACATCTATGTCAAAAAAAAAGTCATTACCTCTAATCACCATGTAAATATCGTGCAAAGTTAGCCACATAAATACAGCATAAAGAATCACTGAAGTAGAATCACTTTAGTCCTTCTCTCATCTTAAAAACATCATGCATATTTTATTTTGAGGGAAATAAAATGTCAAAATATTAAAATTTTGCAGATAGGAGTAAACTATCATATTCTAGTTACATAATGCTTATTCATGTTATAATAATAATAATAATAGCAACAATTTATCGAGCGCTTACTGTGTGCCAGGCACTGCACTAAGCATTTCATATAATCTCATAGCAATCCTATAATGCAGGTATTTTTGACCCCGTTTTACAGATTAGAAACTGAACTCTGGAATTGTTAATAAACATGCCCACGGTCACAGAGCTGGCAACTGGCAGGGGCAGGATTAGAATGTAGGTCTGTCTGATTCCAAAGCCTAGGCTCCATGCTGATCCCTCACACCCCAATAACTCAAGGGTTACACTGCAAGGACTAAGCTCCACTCACCCAAAGAGAGGGAAACCCCAGCCCAGAGCAGATAAGAAGTCAGTAGCAAAGCCCTCACTCTAAATCCCACATTCTCATCATGACATTCGTCATACCACTGCCACATAGTTAAGAGCCAACTCTAGGTGTCTGCGATGATGGGTTAATTATAACTTTGGCTTCATGTGGCAATGTAAGAAAGACGAAGTGCAATGTCTCAAAAACATATCATATGCATATTTAATTTCTCAATATTTGTTATTCATGTTAATGAAATGTGTTATTTATTTTTCATCCATTTTCTATTTGATTTTATAGTTTCCAAAAATATATACACTCTGTTCACAGCACATTATATTTATTTCTGAATGCTTAAACAACCATAACACACTGACATCAAAGGCCATGAAAAGGCAATAATACTATGTAAAGTTCAGTGATCAATGAATTTCACATCACAAATATTGTTCACACAAGATTTTAGACTATACACACTGTTGAAACCCTTTATTAGCATTCAGGTGGTGGCAGCTATGTAATCCAAATGTGTGATTTAAAGTGCCTTCTCTGCATTTTGAACTTGAAAGATTTTAAACAAAAGGTTCCTTTTAAATGTAATACCAGTTTTCTAATGTAGTCTCCACATTTCAGCACTGTGGGCTGCCTTTTCTCTCCACGCCCCCCTTTTTTTTCTTTTTGCCACAGTGGTTAAATATGTCTATAAAGAAGGAAACTTTCCATATACTTCATAATATTGAGCTCAAGAATTTACCCAAGCCTTTTGACAACAGAAAGATTCTCTCCACTGAAACTGTGCATAAAATATACTAAAAGAAATTTTAGAGTTTCAATTTTGGGAACTATTCCCAAAGAAAAAAACACCCATTTACATGGTGTTACTTTCTGTTTCTATTTCTACCCTTTAGCCTATATCAAATTCACATTCTCCTATAAATTCTATTGACTTGTTAAACTCAACCACATTAAAATGTCCTATCTTTTACCTCATCAGTAATACTTCTTAGATTATTTTAACTGGATAGTGCCTTAAACAAGAATTAGATTCATCCCAGTATTTTATTTCAAATGATCTGGGCCTTAGACAAATATTTTGATCTATGAAGCTAAAGTTGAAGCATTCCTACAACAATTAAAATAATCTAATAGTAAATTTCTCATTTTATTATTTTACATTAAGAGCTCCTAGTTGATGAAATTTGATTTAAAATTCGATTTCTCTAATTCTGGTCAAATAAAGAGAAAAAATTGTCAAGGTAGTAATCTCAATGAATGGGAAAATTAGCAAGAAAGCACATTCATCAAAGACATATGGAACCACTAATAATACTGGTAAAAAGATCACTAACTTAAAAATATTTACCTCTAAACATCATTAAGAATAAGCAAATTATCCATGGAAACTTAAAGCATTGACCATACAGAGTTCTCTGCTTTGATTTATGGAAACAATAGATATAAATTATTAGAGCATTTTACACATAATATCTATGAATTATTCTCCCCAAACCCTATAATCCAGAGGAAAAAAACAACCATTTTCACAGAAAAAGAAAC